AGGGGTCAGAGAGGTCAGCCCTGTCCTCCAGGTGCTGTGACATCAGTTTGGAGAGGTCAGCCCTGTCCTCCATGTGCTGTGACACCAGTTTGGAGAGGTCAGCCCTGTCCTCTGGGTGCTGTGACACCAGTTTGGAGAGGTCAGCCCTGTCCTCCAGCTGCTGTGACACCAGTTTGGAGGGGTCAGCCCTGTTCTCCAGCTGCTGTGACACCAGTTTGGAGGGGTCAGCCTGTCCTCCAGGTGCTGTGACACCAGTTTGGAGGGGTCAGCCCTGTCCTCCCGGTGACACGGTGGCACTGTCCTCCGGGTGCTGTGACACCAGTTTGGAGAGGTCAGCCTGTCCTCCAAGTGCTGTGACACCACTTTGGAGGGGTCAGCCTGTCCTCCAAGTGCTGTGACACCACTTTGGAGAGGTCAGCCCTGTCCTCCAGATGCTGTGACACCAGTTTGGAGGGGTCAGCCCTGTCCTCCGGGGGCTGTGACACCAGTTTGGAGAGGTCAGCCCTGTCCTCCCGATGACACGGTGGCACTGTCCTCCAGGTGCTGTGACACCAGTTTGGAGGGGTCAGCCCTGTCCTCCGGGTGCTGTGACACCAGTTTGGAGAGGTCAGCCCTGTCCTCCAAGTGCTGTGACACCACTTTGGAGAGGTCAGCCCTGTCCTCCGAGTGCTGTGACACCAGTTTGGAGAGGTCAGAGAGGTCAGCCGTCTCCTCTAGGTGCTGTGACACCAGTTTGGAGAGGTCAGCCCTGTCCTCCAGGTGCTGTGACACCAGCTTGGAGGGGTCAGCCCTGTCCTCCCGGTGACACGGTGGCACTGTCCTCCGGGTGCTGTGACACCACTTTGGAAGGGTCTCAGCCTCCATCAGCGGTGTCACCGCGGGGATGGAGCTGCGGGGAAGGGTCGCTCCGGACCGGGGTGGCTGCAGGTGCGGGGACAGGTGACAGGAGGGGACAGATGGGAAAAAACACCCACAAACGGCAGCCCCCGCATGCACCAGCACGACCCCGGGGAGGGAGAAGCGGCACCAGCGCTGGCGGTGTCCTCGATGTCCCCAACCATCGGTCCCCTGCTCCGCCGGGCTGGGATGGGGACCGACTGTCGGGGCGCGTTCCRAGCACCCGAAAGAAACCCCTCCAGCCCCGTGGAGGGAGCGGAGGCCGGAAACACGGCTGGGGTGGAGTGGGGGGGGGGAGGATAAAAAAGCCATTTGGGACCAAATCTGCGGAGAATCATGAGGTTTCTGGCAGCTCGGCGCGGGCGGAGGCGGTGGGGACGGCACGCGCTCGCCCACGGGCAGGGACACAGGCGGGACATCTGTCCCCAACCAGGGGCACCGCACAGCCCGGGGGGGGGGCTCCCCTCACCCGTGAGAGGGGGGTCCCGGTGCCTAACGAGCTCCCGGGGCCGTCCCGACGCTGTTTTTTGTTGCCGGGAGGGGAAACTGAGGCAGGAGGGAGCAGGGCTAGGCTGGGCGCACCCCAAAGCCGGCGGCCAGAGGGGTTYTGAGCTTGGGGGTCACACTCGCCATCCCTGGGGGGAACGGGGGGGGGACCAGCACTCGCCACTGCCGGAGGTGTGGGGTGTCCCAGAGAGCAGAGACTCACCCTAAGGGCACCCTAAAATCTCACCGGGGGGGGCTGCACCCCCACCCAGGACAGCGCCAGCCGAGCCAGGGGGTGCCACGGTGGGGGGAATCGTGGGTGGGATTGGGACACGGCCCCCCCCCCTCTGCCCCACCAGCACAGATCGGGGGTCCGGGAGATGCTGGGGCTGGGGGGAGCGTGGGGAGGGGAGTGGGACCCCCATGGCGCGGGTGGGCACAGCCGGCCGGGGGGGACAGCGGGACACGCACCTGCGGGCTCGGGGGGGACACGGAGACACCCCCAAAGCACAGAGAGAGGGGGCACACAGACCCCCGGG